GGGGAAGGGAGCAAATGGGCCCAGACAAGGGGCAGACATGGCGCTCTGTCCCTGTTTCCACCCCTACTCCTCCTCCCTGGTCATTTGTGACAGGCAATTTGCTAGTATTCAGTATATTTTTCCAGGCCTGCATTTATTTTATTAGTAGACTTTGCTTGAACAAGGGTTTGTGATTCAGTTTTCATAGTCTTCCTTTTTCCCTGCCAAATTCTAAAAATGAGAGGTATTGTTATTACAATGTAACACCAGCACAATGTTTCCTTTTTATTTTGAACAGCTTGATAATGGATCCTTACCAACTGTGGCCAGTAGTGCCGAATTTCATCCAGAACCAGATCTTCAGGGCTCAACAAAAGTTACTTTAATTGGGTAAGAACTGTGAAACTGTCAGTTTACAACTAATTTTAGCACTAGGTTGACAAGTTTTTCTGCATTGTTGCCATGTTTCTTTATAGTTTTGGAGAATTCACTTCAGGCCATGATCCTTTTGAGCATAACATACTTCTTCCCTGCTTTCCCAAGCAAATAATGCATTTCGGTTACAGGAGTAGATATGTAAATGGATAAAGTGTGAATAGATGGCGCTCAGGATTATATAACATAGTCCCTGGTTTTGTAGGACCAAAAAATACCTTGTTATTGTGCCCTGCAAAAGGCTGAAAGAGGAAAAAGTATAAGTTTTAAAACTTAATCTATATGCTAGGTGGTCTTCAAAGATGAACTATAATGTATTCATCGTGTAATTTTAAAATGAATGGATCTTTCTTAGGCTTGTGTTTGTATGTCATCTTTATATAGCATTAATAATTGATGCTAAAAAGGTCAGGTTTTGTATTTTGAAGAAAAATATATGACCATTATTAATTTTAACATACATTAACATACATTTTATGTTTCTTTTAAAAAATATATAGATTGCCTCTTAGTTCCTGGGATATAAAGTCTAGAAAGCCATGTAACTGTACCAAATCTCAGTGTCTGAAATTGTAAGTAACTAACAAACCAGCATTTATTATGAAATACTAGTGAATTGCCTATCAAGAATGACACGGGGGCAGGCAGGATGGAGCGTCACGTGCCACCACTGCATGCTGCCACCACCTCCCAGGAGCAGGGTGGAAGCTTGTACGCAGTGGCCATCACCACCAGCCACTGGCCCACACTGTTACCACTCCACATCTGGCCACATGCCACCCCCTCTGCCCGCTCCAGGTCCGGCCCTGCCCTGCGCCCTCCATGCCTCCCCCCTCCAACTTGCGGCCCACTGCCCCACGCTGCTGCTGCTCCGCATCCAGCCGTGTGCCACCCCCCCTGCCTGCTACACATCCATCCCTGTGACACACACCCCCTCCTTCCGCATCCAGCTGTCTCTCTGTGTCTGTCTGTATGGAGCACTCTGATTGGTTGTTTCAGTAAGCATTGTGATTGGCTGCCAAGACAGCCAGTCAGAGTGCTCCAAGTGCATTACAGACAGACAGACACACACACGAACAGATGGACTAAGCCCTTCATATATATAAATGAAGTAAATGTGTTTTAGTACCGGCTAATAAGTTAGTGAACACCAACTATGTGTGTCCCAAACCAAGTACACCTTCCCCCCAAATACATAAGTAAGACCTTGGTCTAAAACCAGAGAGGGCTAAACCTTCAGTTGATATAAATTGGTGCAACTTTTTTTGGTCATTGGAACTACACCAGTTTGCTAGGATCTGCCCTAGGAATGTATGTGGATACATTAGATTAAAAGAAACAGAGAATACAAAAATATTGCTTATAAGATATGATGTAAGAATTAGGAAATAGTGTAAAATTCTATTTGCTACTCCATCCACACAAAAAGAAACATATACGGTCTCTGAGGCAGTTTGGTGATGTCATTACAGTTTTGTCATGTATTATAAAATTGAGTAAGAGGGAGAAATAAGTGTCAAGTGTACAGTGTGTGTTAGAGAGACATATTTTTTTGTAAAGATACAAAATATTCTGTCTTGAAATAGCTAATTTTTACATTTTATATGTTGCTTTATGTGTTGATCACAGATATTGTGATTGCTTTGCCAATGGTGATTTTTGCAGCAACTGCAACTGCAATAATTGTTACAACAATCCACTTCATGAAACTGAGCGATTTAAAGCAATTAAGGTAATAAAAGTAGTGTGTTATCTAGGTCAGACAGGAAAATATGGCAGTATTTTTTTCATTTTTCAAATTCCATTATTAAAAATGTATTCTTTTAAAGAAAAGTTGACTGTTACCTGTATATTTACATACAAAAAGCTTGTCATTGAGAATTTTCATTCACTTTAAAGGACTTTCAGTGTGTCTGGCACCAGAACCAGTATGACTGCATTTTCTCACATACAGCACACTCCCAAATAAAACATTGTTTTTTTAAAAGCAGAAAGCAGGCGGATTTTTCCAGAATCATGGCCTGCTGGTGTGACACAAAGTCCCCCAGAAAACAGTGTGTCCGGGAAGTGTAGCATGCCAGAAAACAGTCTGGGTGAAGCAGCAGGAACTTCCTGTTGTGATACAAGTCAAAAGAAACTGATACCCAAATTGCTGTCCACCTTGATAGATCTTCAACATCTCAGAGGAAATAGTACCTCAGGGAGTTTTTACTATGGTGTTCTTTTTGTTTGTCTAGTGCTGCAGTGTAAAGGGATCTGATTGTCAGCCAGGTTGAACCTGGTTCCATTGAACAGAAAATTGCCTCCAGATATGAAAGCACTGGTTAACCTTTGAGTGGAACCAAATGCAGAGAAACAAAGGGGTACTGCCTGTGCAATATGCAATATACTAGCTTTCAACTGTTATTTAGCCAGTTATATTACCTAGCTAGTTTTTGTAAAATAAAATAAAATATAATAATTCTGTTCTTCAAAAAGAGGTACTTGGATCTTGTAATACAGTTTAATTGGAGTGTCCCTAAAATGGAACTATTGGGAACTGCCCAGTATCATTCTCAGCACTGTTAGGAACAGTTTAATCAAAAAGAGTTTTCCATATATTATATAAAACTATGGCATACTTTTCAAATAAAGAGAAATTAATATGGTGCTTCCAGGAAACAGATCCATATTTAGTAAACCATCTTGCAATTTTTGCTTACAAGGCTGAAGCAATCAGAGCTAAACATCCTTTACTGTTGATATGACCGATAAACTTTATCACTATATTTGTTTTTTACTGTATTATTTGTGGACCTACGCACAACATTTTTATAGATTCATGATCTGATTTATCACCATATTTGTACTTGATTATGTTACTTCTAGGAATAGGAATAATGCCTTTATAATGGTTGGCCCTATGTTATTATTATATTTGCATTTCTGTTGTTTTTTGTTCAAATTTATATTATGGTTGTATGTCTGTTACGTTTTCGGGAGCATGGCTTTCAGCCAGAATCCTTAATAAATTGAAATTGAATAAAACTATGGCATCTAATCCCTGGGGGAGCACTTTAAATGTCATGATGCTTTAAGGATATAGGCAGAGAAGTTTAGACTCACCAGCAGGTGACTGCTTCATATTTTACCCTGTAACATATGTTTGATTGTTTTTTCAACTTACTGGATTTCTGTGACCATGTGAAAGGAGACAATTTTCTGATCCTTAGTGTTGTAGAAATGTGATGATTCCTGGCATTGAATTCCAGTTTCTTTTTACCTGGAATGTTATAGTTCTGGTGAGATTGCACAATGAATGATCTTCAGTGTGTACTGATTGAGCCTCATGACATTACTTTTTTTTTTTTTTTTTTTTTTTGGGGGGGGGGTTGTTGTTTTTTAAATGATAATGCAGAATAACATTCTAACCTTAAGTGGATTGTAGACAGCTGGACTACCAGTCTTCCATAAGAGGGGCATTGTGGGTTCCCTTTGTAGAACCCAGTCAGCTCAGAACTATTTGACTTCCTACCACCATCCAACCATATACTAGAATATAAAACCAAGCCCAAATAAGTGGATCTGTTGGAAATACCTCCAAGACTGAAAGTCCATGTAAATATGGTGCTTCTTTAAACACTAAATTATAATACTTCCTTTGAATTTCTTATGTACTGCTGCTTTCTTTTTAGGCCTGTCTTGATAGGAACCCAGAAGCTTTCCTCCCAAAGATTGGGAAAGGGAAAACAGGAGATATCAAGCCTCGTCATAATAAAGGATGTAACTGCAAGCGCTCAGGGTGCCTTAAGAATTATTGTGAGTGTTTTGAGGTTAGTCAAGTGATATTTCCTAGTGCTTCTTGATTTTTTTATCAGAAAAGGATATGTTTTAATCTACTTGTTTCTGTGTAAAAATACTAGGCATTGAAAATAAGTTTTTTTTTCCCCTCAAATTGTTCATTATAACTTAAAGAACAGCTTTTCTTTCCTGTTTAGCTGAGGCTAATCAGCAAGAATTTTTCTCTTCCTAAAGTGGGAGAGAGCTTCTTAACAAGTTGCTGTGCCAAATATAATCACTGGTCCATAGGAGAAGAGGAAATGCCATCATTTCTTAGAACCTTCTGAATTCAGTGAAAAGATTCTATTGGCTTCTATGCATTTTAAATCAAGCTTCAAGTGCAAATTTCCCCCTTCTGAGTAGCTTGGTAGTTTGTGTGGCATTTCCCACCTGACCCAACAAAGGCATCCATGTGTTGGCCTCCATGTTAGGTGAGGTAAATGTAGACAGACAGGGGAAATGGAATGAATGGGTACACATCTGGGATCAGGGAAAATAGATATCATTTCCGCCACTTTGATCCTATAGAGAATTTCCATAGTCTTCCTCTGGGAGCCTTTAGAATTAGTACAGGCATGGCGACTCCCTGATGGCATGGCTGTAATGGATGTTGTTATGCTTGGTAATATACCAATTCTGTATTTCTCTAAATGTTAGTATTTCTCATTTCCCAGGCTAAAATTATGTGTTCCTCTATTTGCAAATGCATTGGTTGCAAAAATTATGAAGAAAGCCCAGACAGAAAAACACTAATGAACATGCCAGACTACACTGATATTAGAAATAATGAAGAAGACAACTCTATGTCAACATCTGCATTTGAAATGTTATCAGAATCCAGGAAAGATGGGTGAATATTTGGAATATGTTAAATTCATCTAAGTGTTCCACTATGTTTTTATAATGTACTCTTCGCCATGTATCTAAAAAGCAGTAATTTATATTGACCAGTGGTTTGTGTAATAGGTGTCTGTTGATCTGCAAGTAACTTTAATTTTATAGAATCAAGAAATGAAAAGGTTGATTACTTAAGACAAACCTTTCAGATATATGTTGCACATACCTTGGGAAATAAATATTATTCCTTCTGCAGAACTGCAGTTTCTTTTCTATTGATAGCAAACCTGTCCCTTGTCTTTGTCTTCTTCCCTGCCCTATTCATAGATTCATTATTTCATAGATGCTAGGATCAGAAGGGACCTCAACAGATCATTGAGTCCAACCCCCTGCCTAGGCA